ACATGTATATAGCTAAAAGCAAAATTTATTGCAACAAGTAAAAAGAGGAGAAAAAGAGTAAAACTGTAAACTAATTTCTTTTTTAAAAAATCATGCCTTGCACAAGGCCGGTCAAAAACGTCTTGCGACACTTATATTTTTCATTGACAGACTATTAACCAGAATGGTTAGGGCGCTTGGTGTTCCAACACCCTGCATTAAAAAAAAAGACTTCTGTAAACTGTCAAATACATTCAATTTAATTAGCTGAAAGAGGTAGAGGCACCTTGGAGACAAAACTATCACAATAAAGTTCGAAAATCGACTTTATATTTTGCTGTTAGTTTACTTCTTTTAAAAGAATCATGTAATAAACTTTATGGTCGTTGGAGCGGATAACCCCTTGGGATGAGAGGTAGGCAACACGGTGGGCAGCGAAGCCATCGGGTTGCCTGCCCAGCGCAAGCCAGGCGCTTTTATCGGGGTCACTTAAAACATGAGAGAAACACCACACAAACAAATGATGGATACACACAACACACAGAAGACACAGAGACAGACACAGAAACGGTGCAAAGCTGTAAGCCGGGCCAGCACAGAATAAGCACGAAGCAGTGCGCGACAGTCTACTAAAAGGAGAGAATATTTGTCACATAGAATACAAAAGTATGTTGACTCATCTTTTAAGATGGCTCTTAGTGACCAAGAGAGCCAAAGTCTGATTTTAATTTGTCTTGGTATTAGTTTTATTTGATATTTTAAATTAAATTTGATTTCAAGTAAACTTAAAGGAGTTAAGATGTCGGGTTGTGCGTATTTGTCTGATTTGTAATGAGGGCAAGCTTGTGTCGGTGGTAGTGCAGCCCGCTCGATGGTGCCCGAGAGACAGTCCCCGTGTCAAAACGTCTGGTGGAAGCTGACAGAGGCGCCGAAGAGAGTCGCGATCATGAGAACGAAGGAGCGAATACAGTCAGCTCAGTGAGATGGATCAATGGATTAATGGGACGAGGTGGCGAAGCGACAGTGAGAGTGCGAGGAAGCGGCCCGAAAATAGGATGAGGATCTCCGTGCCTCTCGAGTACAAAGACAAATCAATTTAAAAACGGAACTTTCAACTGTTTTATTAGTTGTATTTTTATTTTATTTTTTTTACATTTTTGTATAGCATTTACACTAAACTTTGAGACCACTCATCCCATTTGCGGACAGCACCCTGTTGGCGGGCTGTGGCCACTTTGGCGCTCATAGTCGGTACGTACTAACTGCTGTCCGCCTGCCGGCCGGCCCCTCTCGGGGAGAGAAAGAGAGGGGAGAGGGGAGCCGGGCCGGGAGAGCGAGCGGGAGAGGGAGCATGGCGGAGCACCGCGGAGCACGGCATTGCCTAGGGCCGGCCGATGGGCGCGATGCTCTTGGAGCGCTCGCGCCCGAACACTCCGAGAGCGTCGCCCCGGCTCGCCGAGCGCTCGGTGCGGCCGAACGCGAACGCGTCGGCTCGGCTGGCCGAGCGTTCGGTGCGGCCAAACGCCAGCACATCGGCCCGGCTCAGGGAGCGCTCGCGGCCGACTCCAACCAGGGCGTCGGCTCGGCTCAGCGACCGCTCGGCGCGCCCCAGGCGGGGCTGGTACAGGTCCTCGTGGCCCGGCATGGCGTCGCGACGGCAGAAGGAAGGGCGGTGGTGTTGGATCCGGTCGGACACACTGGCGCTACCACACGTGCGGCACACACAAGTAGGACGTCACAGAGACAGGCAGAGAGATGACAACCCGGCCCGACACGACCCCGGCAGGGTGGTGCACAGAGGCATTAGATTGGCATGAAAAACTCTCTTATCATGTTAAAAAAAGTTTTAAGTGGCTGATTAAATCTCGTCTTTTCTCAAAATTAAAACCAGTATTGAATTTGTGAGAAAGATTCGATGATTAGTACTTTCAGTTGTATAATACCAGTCTACTTCCACACTTTTTCTGCAGATGTCTATAAAAGCACCTGAATATATCTTACATTATTACCTTTGCGTCTTCAAAAATGTTGAATGAATTTTCAAAATGTTAAAAAAATATTACTTTTTACATCACAGAAAAAAATTTACCTAGAAAAAAACATAATTAAAGATTTTACGCATTCAATTATTTGAAAGCAAGAGGTCATGCGGACGGTATAGCATCATGTTAATTTCATGCCGGGACAGATGTAAGTTCTACAGAGAAGGCATGCGGATTCTTTGAAAGATGTTTTTAAAAAGGTCTGGACAAACCAAAGCAAACTAAAAACAATTTAAATATGGAAGCTGGTGGTTAACACTCGTTAATTGATTTTTTTTCTCGATTGAAACGTCTTAGAAACCCAAAACTTTACTGAATCATTTAAAATGTACAAGAATTAACATGGGAGGTGGTACTTTGAAGGACCGTAAGGCAATAAGATAAAAAAGAAAATGCCATAAGAAAAGTACTCTACAAAATATTTATAAAGAGAAAGAAATGTAATTTTTGATAGCCATGCTTCTTTAGAGGAGAAAAGAGGATGTATAAAAATCAAACAAAGCTACGTCGCCAAGGGTCTCACCACAAAACTGCATGCAGGAATATCTAATCATTTGTCCAATAGAAATTAAATATAAAGTTCATATGTGTTGTGGTTATAGTGCAAACACCACCTAAAGTAACTGTATTGATTTTTCTTTCTATCGGACGGATAAAATTATATATCACGTCATCTGTGAATTCACACTGGAAAACGTACAGCATGCAATTGATTTGGACAGGTCCTGACGACTTACCTAGCACTGTGACTCAATAAGATGATATTTCTGGAAAAAACACAAAAACAAATCAGTTTGCGTAAGCAATACCTGTTAGCATCTATTCTACCTGATGGGCTTCAGCATCTTGGACTATAAAAGGCCTTCCCTGAAGTGAAAACCGTGGGGATGGAAACGCAGCGTTAGCGAGGCAGAGGCTTACGTTAATGCTACTGCACAAAAGACTCAGCAAATTGTTTAAAATTGTGAAAATTTTAGTACACTCTAATTATGGCTGTGCACGGACGGGACAAGACTAGTGCACTAATATGGTTCAAAAAGTCTATATACGGTTATAAAGGAAATCGAAATGGAATACAGAAGGAAATGGAGACAAAATTTTCAATCGAGTAGGTTGTCGGTGAGTTCATAAGTTAAAATTTGCATCAGCTTCTTTTTATGCTCAATTTGTGTTTGTAAAGCGCTCTCTTCTTCTCTGTAAATTCAAATGTGTAAAAGGTATTCTTTATATAAAGCGTACATTATGGCATATATACTTTAAAATTAATGTACTCATGACCATGCGCGCTTTTATAAATGCAGACACGCATTTATAAATGCGTACATGACCATGTACGCGTTAATAAAAAGCATACATGCCGTGTACACATTAGATAAAGTATACATGCCATTTAAGCTTAATTTAAAGCATACAATGTACACATTTAAATTGACAGAGTTGCTGCTGACTAGAACCAAGGGAGAAGGAAAAAACTGAACCATACAGCCTTAACCAATGATAATGAGCTTCATTTCACTTGGCTACCTTTACAACCCTTCATCAAAGTCAATATACTCATCTATAGGCAAAAGCTGAATACGTAATTACGGAAGAGATCTGTCTTCTCCGTTTCCCAAAAAGGCGTCCTATTGTGAAAGAAAGATGGTTTGTCTGTAACGTTATACGTTGTTACTTTAGCGGTGCAGTCGATTAGTGCCAAAATTCTTTCACAAAGTAAATAATATCTGCACACTATGTACCAAAAAGCGGAAGGACTTTATTAAGAATATAAAATGGGAAAAAAATAAAGAAATATTAGTAAGAAATGTTCTTTTGGTAGTTTGCGCTCTTGGCGACATACCTCAAGGTGAATACGAGTAAGGTGAATTATTGTACTGCGAGCTCATCCTGTTAGGAAGTTTCCGTTTGAAATCCTCATGAAAATTAACGCTACAACTATATTAGGGGACTAGGGGGGAAGTCCTCATTACATTTTATTACTGGGTGAGTTTAACGAAAAGAAAGAAGTTATAACCGATTTGAATAATTTCGTCCTTTAATAATTGATTTAGACTCTCTGCCTTCACTTCGATTAAAATAATAGTAATAAACAACTGGCTTGGGAAGTTTAACTCACCGACCGAGTTCTGGGAATAGAGGTAAGACTACCATACTTCTGACGTAGGACATAATCATTCTTATCGCGTAATTTCTCAAAACTTACCTCAATAGCCTAGTGATATAGTCAGGCCAGTTGTCGGGCAACATGACCAGAAAGAAGCCGACTGCTATCAGAATCATCCCTGCTAACTTCATTCCGGCGAAGTGTGCTCCATACAGAACCACGTCCAAAGCTGTGTGATGAAAAAAATAAGGATTCAGTGGAAGATGAGGCGTGGTACAGGGACGTTTCTCACAACGCATAGGCACACACCTGCAGAGACTGGGACAGATGTGATCAGACCAAGAGTGATGAAGAGGTCGTACGTGATTGCGACTCCGAAGTTTCCAAGAAGATTTGCAACTAAAGAGAGATCATGGTAAGTAAATTTGTCGGCCGAGTCTCTCTGGTCAATAATATCCATTTGTATGGAGTACCTAGGGACAGCGCGCTGGACGCGAGAAGGGCCACCCACGGCAGCTGTTCCCAGTTAAAGGTCTCCGCTCCGGTCAGGTACAGTGCCAGCACTAGCGGCCACAGGATGGAGGCGTTGAGGAGTCCGATCAGCGAGAAGAAGAGCGACACCTGGCCGTAGCTGGCGTCACCGATCACTTTCCGGAACAGCACCTAGACACGACAAAGGACGGTTAGGTCCGCTTCCTAGATAAAATAATTAGGAACTGTAAACCATGTTTAACCTTGTAGACGGCCGAGCCAGCGCCAGCACACGCCGCCAACACCACGCCGCCGAGGGTGGGGCTTCCCGTGATGCCATCCATGTAGGCGAGCAGTGCGATGCCCGTGTCGCAAAGGATAACCGCCACAATCTGTGGATCGGTGACGAATCGCTTGTTTTTACTGGAGTTTTACAGGTAAAAGACTCTGAGACTCTGCCACCTCTCCCTGGAGGACTCACCCGGACGCCGACAAACTGCTCGTGCAGGATCACCCAGGATAGCAGGTAGACGCAGCTCACGTTGGTCGCGTACAGGGCCATGACGTCCGTGGCCAGCAGGATCCGCAGCGAGTGGATGTACATGTAGTTGGTGCCGACCCACAGCAGGCAGAACAGCATGCATCTTGTCAGGAAGCGAGCTGTCCAACAGACGGATGGGCTTGTTGAGGGCGTCCGTGGCGGAGACGCAAACGCCAAGAAAAATAATTGGCTAAATAACCGGCTAGGGGGGCATAATAAAATATGGTCGAGACAAAGTTTTAAACCACATTTTTGTTTCTCCCAATAATTTAAAATTCTCTTCAACCATATTTTATGGTGCTCATTGAGCCAACCGCGCAATGGTTGCCAAACTAATCATTTTTGGGGGGAGAAGCTGTTAATAACAGTTACACCGTCCCCCCACCTGGAGTAAAGCCCCTGTCCCGGAAGCCGCGGACGCACTCGCCGAGGACCTCGCCCCAGGAGACGCACCGCGCCGTCAGCAGGCGGCTGGCCAGGTAGAGCGGGAAGAAGAAGATGGTGAAGTTGGTGATGAACCAGGTGGTGAAGAAGGGGGCGTTGTAGGAGGCGCGCAGAAGGTAGTGGTGGATGGCGGTGGTGCTGGCGTTGCTGTGGCCGTGCCGGTGGCCGCCGAGCGGGTGCACCGTCTGTGGCAGCACGTCCTCCAGGCCGGGCCGCGCGGGGAACAGCTGGTCCGCGTGGTAGCCGAAGCCCGCCAGCGGGTGGCGGAGGTACAGCAGCTTGATGCTGTGCGTCGCGCCCACCCAGGACGCCGTCATGCAGATGGTGATGCAGACGCCGTAGTATATCTGGTGAAAACAGATCGGGACCCTTCAATAAAAACACTTGGAAGCGCAAGTGTGTGAGTGTCACGCACTTGAAGGTGTGAACGTCCATTCGTACACTGAGAAGTGAATTTAATTTTGAAAATGCACACACTTACTTGTGTACAAATGGCGTTCACACACCTAAATGTGGGCGGCATTCACACTCTTGGGTTCCCGGTGTGAAGACACCCTTCGGACGACTTTCCCGCTCGACACGGCTCGGTGGCCGCGCGGCGTCTGGAGGCCCCATAACGTGCGTGAGCTAAGCTGCGGCCCGGGGCCGGGGAGGCCGGTGCCCCGCTCACCCTCTCCCTCCTTGAGCATAGCACCAGCGATCATAGCTTGTTGCGCTAACGGCATCGCAACACGACAGTGCTGCGTGGCACAGCGCTTCCCATGACGATGGAAATAATAATAGTCGTGATTACCATTTAGTAACGTTACTACGATTACTTTTATCGTCCCTTCCTCCCCTAGTGTTTGGCGTGTCCCTCGACGACGACGACGAGGCACACCGGTGGTGTAATAAACTCGCACTCCGCGATCTCGTTGGCGTGTCATTTTACGAGTCGCTCTGAGGGGCGCTGCTTGACATTTTGCCCGGTCCCCTTCATCCACCCAGCTATTTGTCTGCTCATCATATTACCCGTCCCTCCCGCACACACACACACTCACCTTCTTGGCCGGCTCCGAGCAACACGAGTCCTTGCACTTTGCGAGGCGCCGCGGCCGTGCGACCACGGGGATGGCCGACTCCGGGATGGACTCATGTCCGCTGGCCGCTGTCGTAGAAAAAACTGCGTCCATAACATGACGGGACACATGCCATAGTTTGGATTAAACATGTGAAATACATTCCGACTCTCGCCCTCTGAATTCGGGATCGTATTGTGAGAAGGAAGTGTCTGCGAGAAACGAAGAACGCATTGTGCGGCATGATGAATGTATACTCCCGTAATTAACACTGGATACATTTATCATAGCGTCGAGAAATGCTTTCATCGTCTGCTCTGAATTCTATGCGAGGCTCGTGAGAAAGTACGCCCTGAAACTCCCGTAATTCCATGGTTGTATCCAGCGAGCGACATACAACCTACAACCTAATGGAGGTCCCTGATTGGCCAATCCGCCCCGCGAGTCATTTGTTTTTGGGCGAATTGGCCAATCAGGGACCTCCATTAGGTTGTAGGTCGCTGGATAGACCCCTTATGAGTCGTTCGCGAGCGGACTTGGACGCCTGGCGCCGCCGTGCTGCTCACCAGAGTCGGAGTGTTGCAGCCTCGGGGTCTGGCCGAACGGTCCCTTGTGCGCCGACTGCCCCGCCGTGCTGTCCTCGGACGCGGACCCGCCGCCCCCGCTGCTCCCGGCTCCTGAACCGCCCCCCGTGCTGCCGCCGCCCCCGCCGCCGCGCCCTTTGGGGTGGAAAATGGCTGGCACGTCCCCCGCCTCGGGTCTCATAGGCGCCGCCGGGCGTCCTCTACCTGCCGGGCATGGCTGCAGGGCCCGCGCACCGCACCTGGAAGCAAGAGAGAGACACACGTTAGCACGTCCGCACCGCATTGGGAACGCGTGAGTGTCGCACACTTGAAGATATATGAAATTGACACACTTGCGTCTCCATGTGTGTTAGCGCGAAACTTGCATTCAGCCAATGCATGCTCTCGAAGCGCCTGATGGGTAGGCAACATCTATCCTGAAGTGCATGCGTGTATTGCGGGTTGGCCTACCCCGAGTCTTGCAGGCGCCCGAGCCGAGTGGAAACGGTCGCATACTTTTCGGACCCGAACTACTATGGGAAATACTTGCGTGAATAGGAAAATTGTCCACCATCGCATGTTGTAAAATTTCAATTCGAAATTGTAAAATTACAAGTATCGACTTGGAAGTCATTGACGAGCCCAAACATGGGCTGTCGTAAATTGACACCATATTCTGTGAATCGAAAATACAAAGTATGGTGTAAAGGAGTACGAAGATTTTTTTCACAGTGCCCCGTATTTCAAACATTTGTTTGTTTCATCACGTTGAATGCTCCCGCTCTTTTTGGCTTGTGGTGCAGCGGGTGCTGCAGCCGGTGCAGGTGCACCCGTATGGGCGTGCAAGACGGCGCGGCTATTTCGGTCCGACCGGCGGCCGCACAAGGAAGGCGTCTTGTCGGACCTCGTGGCCGCCGCCGCCGCCCCCGCCGCCGCCCCGGGGCCTCGAGGCGAGCCGAGATAAACTGCTGCATTATTCAGCCCCCCGGCCGCGGCTGCGTTCGGCGCCGGCCAACTTTCCTTTGCATCGCTGTCACTCGCGCTGACTCGGCGGACGGAGCAAAAGGGCGAGAGAAAGACAAGGAAGGGGTGGTGCAGAAGAAGGGGCGTATTAAGTGAAGCGCGGCCGCGGGCTCACTGAGTCTTAATGAAAAAAGTTTCTATCAAATGTAGCGTGACCTTTCACCCCGGCTCTCTATTATCATTCCATTTCAGGCGGCTGCATAGGGGCCCGCAGACCCGCGCAAACTCGGTGGGTTGTGTTGGGCGGCTAGAACAACTTCAACTTGAAGGGCCTGTGCCCTCCTGGCAGTCGCTGCAGCCTACCCTACGTCGCTCTGGCTCTCCGCTCTGCCGCCAGTTCCCCGGCCGTCTGATCGACCCCATCTGTGTCCTCCCCCCCC